AATCCATATGTTTGTGACTCATTTAAATGCAATGCAGTGAAGTATACCCTCTAAGCTTCTCTTTGATCCAAGAAACTGAGTTTTGCCAACAACAAATGAAGCTCCTGACAAAAGAGGGTCAAAGAGAGCTGTCCTTTATTCTAAGTAAGATATTAAAAGTCTACTCCCGACCCAAGATGAAGCTGGGAGGGTGGGGCAGGGAGAGAGTTCCATGGCTTGAGTCGTATTCAGAGTTTTGCTCTGGGTCAGCTATATATTTCTCCCAGGCCTCCTCAGAAGAGAAATGCAGGAACAAGACATAGCAAAACTAACCCATCCTGTCTATTGCTCAAAAACTCCTTATTCTCCCCTTCTTGGTTCCTCCAGCATTATACAATCCAAATAGGATTGAGGATAAAAAGAGAAAATTAAGGAGCTAGATCGCTCCATTACCAGTGAATGCCTGTTCATTTTCCAGGTTGTTGCTTGATTTCCAGGACAACAAAAGCAGTCTCCAAGTGAGAGATAAGAAGATAGAGTAATCAGAAATAATGATGGGTATTAAAATGAGTAAATGTCTAAATGCCCAAATTCTGCCTTGACAATTACTGTTCTCCAGGAAGTACAGAAAACAATATCCATTCAGATTAGCTAGACTTATGCAAACAAGATCTCTCTTTAGCTAACTGGGCTGGAGCACAATAAATGGAGTACCAGGGACCGGCAACGGGATCGCAACCCTCCGTGTTGCACCCGCACCGCGCTCAGCCAGTGAGCAGGAACCGGTCTCCACATGGGATCCGAACCCTCGGTGGGAGCACCGCCGCGCTCCCAAGCGGCGCACTCTCCAGTGCACCACCGGGCCGGCCCCAAAATCCGCATTTTACAGATGAGAATGTTGAGGCTCAGAAGGGCTGAGTGGCTTGTTGACCAATTCCACATTGTCTGTCTCTGAGCTCAGTGCTAAGTCCACTGTACCACACTGCCTCAATGACAAGTAAGTTTCTCCTAAAAACAGCTATGCACCAACATTTGCAATGTAGATATGTGTGTGTAAATGTAAAACAATGTAATAAACTATAATATATTCTTTATTAGAGCAGAGTACTATCTTCAGGACATCCAAATGAGTTGAGGAACAATATGTCTGATATAATCTCATTTGTGCATCTGTATGTGTGCTTCTGTGTGATTGTGTCTAGCATGATTGTGCTTATGAGTACTCACAGGCATGTTCTTGCATGCAGAGAAAAGGTCCAGGGTATACCCACCAACAGTTAACAGCAGATTCTCCTTGTGGGTAAGAATTTTCATTCTTCTATGTATTTGGCATTGCTACACAGTTTACAATGAGCGTGCATTGCTTTTGCAATTTGAAAACAATGAGTTGAGCTGCCATTTACTGAGCCTGGAATACAAGCTAGGCACTATGCAAGCCCTTTAACACACACCATCTCATCTCATCCTCCCTGTGGCTCCATCACATGGGACTAAGATCATAACCCAGGTGAGGAAACTGAGGCTTAAAGAGGACACACAGCTAGTAAGTGGCAGAGCCAGGGTTAAAATGCAGGACTGTCTGATATGAAAGTCACGTTCAGGTCATCCTTTTTCATTTTTGAAAGAGATCATTCCTTTTCACCTGTACTCAATAGAGAAAAGGAGTCTGTTTCTCATGACGATGTCATCTGTTTGTCCTGAGTTGTTTCAAAGCATAGAAAAGGCTGCCAGCTGCTGTGCTATGGAACTAAGACACCTCGGTGTGCCTGCCGCCGAGCTGCAGCTCCGCCACATCCCCCCTCCCCGGCCCATCCCCCGCGCTCCTTGTCCTCACCATTCTTGGCCATCTCTCCATGTGTGAATTCCATTAAGGGCTCGCTCACTGCTATTTTGGGCCATGCCTTAGTACGTGGGCTTTGATTTGATGGGAGAAGGCCAGACACCTCAGGATGATGAAAAAGAAATTTCAAATGTCCTCTCCCTTCCCCAGAGTCCTAGAAACACTTGCCCACCACTCGTGGGAGGCCTGAGAATCCAATGTATGGGGAATTGCATGGGGAGCAGGGGGTGAAACAAAGGTGGAGTGGAAATCTTCATACTCTTTTAGGGCCTTTGAACTTGGCTGCTCCCTCTTCTTGGAACTGTCGTCTCCCGGCTGTCGGCTGTCACCATGGCTCACTCCCTCACCTCATTCAGATCTTGACTCAAATATCAATTCACTGGCAAGGTCTCCCCAGAAAGAACATAAACAGCAGCTCCCTCTACGCCCCCTGCTTCCTTGGAGCCCTTATGTCCCTTTGTTCCCAGTATAGCACTTGTCGTCTGACACACTACACATTCACTCATTTGCTTCCTGTTTCCCCTAGCTAGAACATAAGCACCATAAAGTTAAAAATGTTTTATTCACAGCTTTATCCCAGTTATCTCCACCAGAGCCTAGAATGTTACAGATGCATAGCAGATGAAAAGAATGAATGAATCAATTGAGTATGTTAAGAACCAGAGCCTGAGAAATCACTTAGCACAGGGCCCGGTCTCCCTCCAAATATCATGGGCTTATAGAAACCTTCACACAGCAATCAGAAAAGCTTCTCCCCCGCTTCCACGCTGTTTTGAATCTGGACTCGCATGCACCATGAATGAGAAGGCTTTGGGAAATAAACGCACTAGGAAGTCGTGTGCAGTTGGAGTTCCGCTCCCTAACACATGTTCAAAACAAAAAGCCCAATTTGGATGAAAATAGCAGGAAGCCATTACCCCAGGGACACCTGGTGAGGTCATATTGCTTGGCTCTGCTGCTTCCATTTTTGTCAAGTCTCCTGCCTTCTGCCAACTCAAGGAGGCCAGGAACCACACACATCCAGCCCCATGCTGCTCACCGTAAAACAAGAGAGCTGCAGACAATACAACCACGTCTGCCAGCTCGCCTCTGGAACTTCAGTGTGGGACGATAAAAATCACAACAATAGTGACCACACACGATGTGCTCTCTAAGCCCTTTGTGCACATCACCTCATTCAGTCCATAACCATCCTGTGAGGTTGGCATCACTATCCTCATTTTGTAGATGAGAACACTAAGATTCTAAAAGATTCAGCAGCTTGCCCTGGGTCACATTCTGTGACCTTAGAACCAAGCCAAGAATACAAATGATCCTAGTCTCACCTCTCTCATTTACTTGCTATGCGACGTTAGACAAGTGCCTATCCCTTTCTAAGTCAAAGTTTCTGCATCGGCACATAAGACCATTGCATTCAGTGTTTTCTAACGTGTCTTCCTGCCCTAGTTTCTTATGATCTCTTGCAAAGGTTCTAAAACAGGAGAGAAGGAAGAGGACTCGAGTCCTGAGATCCCTGTTGGCCAGTGCAACTCCTAAGGATTTATCCATGACACCAACACCATCACTTGGGATGATCAGAGGAAGCTTAAGGCTCATATGCTCAACTCAGGGCAGAACGGGACAGATTAGACTCAGGTGACAACAGGAAACACTTAAACTAGAACTAAAGGGAGAGAAGGAAGAGGACTCGAGTCCTGAGATCCCTGTTGGCCAGTGCAACTCCTAAGGATTTGTCCATGACACCAACACCATCACTTGGGATGATCAGAGGAAGCTTAAGGGTCATATGCTCAACTCAGGGCAGAACGGGACAGATTAGACTCAGGTGACAACAGGAAACACTTAAACTAGAACTAAAGAGCTGGGGCCATGAGAAACTAAAGCAGGTGCCTGAGAGAGATTGTCAACAACAGATCCTTTAAGGGCCTGTTTTTGTAGAACCAAAGGAAGACAACCCAAAGAGAAGTCCTGGGCAAGCAGAGCCTGCACCCTCTGGGGATGCAGCCAGCCAGGCCTGTTCCAGGGAAATAGGAGAAAAGGAACATTTTACTCTCAAGAGGAGAGCAGCAAAAATGACAGCAATGCCCATCTTCCTGGCTCCCCGAAAGCCACCGTATACTGGCGGCAGAGGAACAATATGGATGAAGCCCCATTACCACACAAGCTGCTTGAGTTGTACTTTAACAACACTTGGGTGATCCTCATTTGCAAGTGGCCAAAAAGCCCAAATTTGGAATAGATCATATTCTTCTTTTCCACCAAGCCTAGCAGTCATTCCCATCCTTCTGGAAAAGGGAAGATCCTTCTCTGTCTCTTTCTTGGCAGTGATGCATTTGATTACTCATTGGCTTCCAGAGGGTTCTGGCAACTCTCCAAGCCAACCAGCCTTATCTGTGACGTCTGGGTGGCAGAATGCAAGTGGGACTGTTGGTGGGGAAATACCGAAGGCCTTCAGAGTCCCTTGGCTAAGTAAGGAGGGCTCTTCAGTGACCAAGCAGATTGGAAATGGCCAAAGAACAGGCAGTAGATGTAGCCACGTTACGTCTATTCACCCCCTCGATAACATGAATCAAGATACAACCGCGCCTGACGGCAAATCAATATTGAAATATTTCTGAGCCAGGCCACCACCCAAGATGAATGAGGTTAGGAAGTTGGAGCAGCTGAGCCCGATGGAGCCAGGAGACTGCTGACGGTGCCATTATCAGTAACATCTCAGATTTAGCTGACCCAGAACAGACAGAACAATCAGGGTCTCAGGCTCCAAATCCCAGCACACTCCGCCTTGCCTCTCTCCTCTCTGCTGTTTTCCTTTAATCTCCTTCACTTCCTGCCATGCGCCAGGCTGGAGCTAGCAAGGCAGCTGCCCAGGGCCTCCAGTCCTTCCCCTCCCTTAATCTCATACATACACACACCACTGTGTGCCTTCAGTGAACTCTAAGAGGCCCTGGAAATTCAGCCTAAGAAAATTCAAGCAAGACGTTAAGCATGCCAGTAATTTCACAGCAAGTCAAGAGACTGTGGAAAAGCTCTGTCTTTGTAAGATGCTTCCCCAAGGAACCAAGGATTCAGAGTTTGGGGTCACTCCACTAACTGCTTCCTTCCAAAACAGCGAGGCCTGCATCTGGCATTGACATAGACTTTAATTGTTTGACTTTAGACAAAGGAGGAGTCCACTTACTCATTCTTCTCCAGGTCCAGGATCAGTTCTTGCCCCTCAGCCATTACCCTGAGCTCAGCTTTGAGTGGATGCTAAAAGCAACAACAAAAGAATGTCAGTTCCTACAAGTGGGGACCAAGGCTCCCAGGGATGGGCACAGGGTCTAGCACCGTGCTTGAACATTGATCCATGGGAGACAAATGAGAAAAGGTCAATTGCATTTCCAGCCCAAAATTGAAATGACCTCAATCCCAGAATGACCCCAATCCTTCCCCTGTCTGCTTTCTCCTGAAAGGCAAAGGAAAGAAACTCCAAGCTGAAATGTGGTGTAAGTGTATGCATGGGGTCTGGTAAAGGAAAAAGCTGGAAAACACGATCTTCAGTAGAAAATTATGTGAGGAGTCAGATCTGGATTAAGTGCTGGCTCTGACACCTGCAGCTGTGTGAACTTGGCCACGTTACTGAGCCTCCCAACATCTCAGTTTCCTCATTTGATATACAGAGATAGTAATAGTCAACTTTATGGGGATCTTATAAGGATTAAGTGAGATAATGAATGTAAATAATTTATCACAGTGCCTGGCATGCAGGAAGCCCTCAATATATGTTGGCTGTTACCTTATAAAATACCAGGGATCTTCTTCATAGTGGGTCCTTATTTTATTTTATTTTGGCCCTCAGTTTGGAAACCCCCAATCATCTCAAAGGAAGCAACTAAAAGCACTTCAAATTAAGGTTTCATAGTTCCAAAAGTAGATATATTTTACACATAAGTAGTCTGCTAATGGCCAAAGGTGTTACACACCCAGAATAGATCACTTAGATCTACACATTTGGGCCAATTAGCAGAAAAAATATGCTCAACATCACTGGTAAACCACCCCCCCACCAAAAAACACATTTAAAAAAAAAGTACCTTTAAAAAATCAAAGTGTCAAAGATTTTTTAAAACTGTAAATCACAGTGTAGTGGAACATACCATTGAGAATTTAAATTGATACCAACTCTCTGGAAAATAATTTGACAGTATGGACCAAGAGTTTAAAAATGCTTAGACCTTTTAACCCAATAATATAAAACTATCTGAGGGGAACAAACAGAAGTACTGGCAAAGGTTTATATTCAAGGACATTTATTACTTATAATGATGAATAATGAAATATAACCTAAATGTCCAAAAAATAAGAGAATGGTTAAATAAATGATGATTTATTCTGATGGCAGAACACTAGACAGTCATTAAAAACAGTGACTTTAAACAATCTTTAAATTATTGAGAAAGTTTATATAGTGAATATTAGGCACGAACCCTCAAAATATAACACTGTATATATTATTTAAATATACTTTTGTGTAGTTTTGTATTTTTTTGTAGAGTGAAAAAAAGTAGAGAAAAAGAAACGTAAAGGTTACCATAGTTACTCTAGGCAGTGGGATCACGTGTTAATTTTATTTCGTGCATCATTCTATGTTTTTATAATTGCTTTTATAATTTAAGAAAAGAACTTTTAATCTCTTTTTGCCTTATTATTGTGGGAAATTTCAAAGAAATTTTAAAAACCAAGTTGTAAAAAATCTTCATGCTTTAAAAATTCAACCTAAGGCTGTTGAACTTTTTTCCAAGGAGTAAACTATTTATTTAAAACAGAATATTTACATATTTAAAACAGATAGATCCTTTGTGTTTTTGTTTTTATAATGCTAAAAATAAGAGTAAAGATTGAACCCAACAATGCAGGGTTCATTGTTGACAATTAAGTGATGGTAATGTAAGCCTTTGGGGTGTTTTAAATATGAGCTCTCTAACTTGGGACCAAGAAACTGATAAATTCTTAGGTCCCTTTTAAGCGACAAAAGTCCTCGCTAGAGTAGAGCTTCTACCCCTTTCAAGGTTGACATCAAAGCTTGGTTCTGGCACATCTGAAAAAATGGGTCACCTGCTTTGCCACCTCTGGTTGGGGGCCTACCTCTTCTAAGCATATTCCCCTTCCTACTTCCTGCAAATCCCACTCCGGCTTGGTTCTGGCACATCTGAAAAAATGGGTCACCTGCTTTGCCACCTCTGGTTGGGGGCCTGGCCTACCTCTTCTAAGCATATTCCCCTTCCTACTTCCTGCAAATCCCACTCCCCAGTTGGGTCTGGGCATCCCTGAGACTTTTGGGTCACCAAGGGCTCTGATCAGATCTGAATGTTCTGACGAAGGACTCTTGGGCAACTCTGTCTCTTGCATAATTTATCCTATTACCTGGGCGACACCACACCAAGGGTTGCGATCCCCTTACCGGTAACGAAAAAAAAAAAAAAAAAAAAAAAAAAAGGTAGGTGATCCCATACCAAACAGCCTCCCCCCCCCAAAAAAAAGAGGTAGATGACCATGTGACAACCCACACAAAAAAGGAATATTGACACAAATCAAAGCACTATCACCTGTCCCCCAAAGAAACACAAGCTGCAACATGAGTACTAATATTTATTTTTATGTGGGTAATCCAAAAATAATTCTTTATTCTGGAAGGTACTCAGACACTGATATCTAAAATATGATGTTCCTTGTTTCCATGGGACATTTCAAGCAAAACAATGAAACTGCATTTTAAGGATCTTTGAAACTTCCCTGTCCAGTTCTACTCACCAGCTTTTCTTGTGTAACTCCACTTGTTATTAGGAAGGGGCACTATCACCTCTCCTGGGGAAGGGTTAAAAGTCCTTTCTCTTTAGGATGAGGTTAAATAGATCTTCAGCTCCTCAGGGTATTGGAAACCTGTCCTATATATTTTTATCCCCCTTAAGATTTAGTATAATACTTAGCACCCAGTAAGTGTTCAATTAATGTTTAATGAATGAATGAATAACATAAATGAGAATAAGAGGCCTGAGTGAAATGCAACACATAGCCTCTCTGACATTCATTCATTCAGCAAATATTTATGGTACCAGGCTCTGTGCTGACTATTTCGACAGAGTACAGTGACCCATATTCTGGGCAGACAATGGCTGGGAACAAAGACAGGATCTGGCCCTCTGCTTTGTTTCACGGGCCCTTCCTGAGGATACACAGCATCTCCCATTTGGAGGGAACAAAGAAGCCTCTATAAAAAGTATCAGATCCTTTCCTCGAGCAATAATGGATGGGTTACACCCATATTCTGGGCAGACAATGGCTGGGAACAAAGACAGGATCTGGCCCTCTGCTTTGTTTCGCAGGCCCTTCCTGAGGATACACAGCATCTCCCATTTGGAAGGAACAAAGAAGCCTCTATAAAAAGTATCAGATCCTTTCCTCGAGCAATAATGGATGGGTTACAATATCTAAGATCTTAATTTTTAAAAATAATCTGCTCTAGGATGGCCATCCATGAATCTGTCTAGATTTTTCCTGAAGCTACTTCAGCTTCTCCTACTTTTTGATGAAATGAGTTCCATGCATTTATTGCCTTTAGGTCAAAATGTTACTTGCTTTTATTTGTTTTGGAATTTTCACTGTAAGTTCCCTTAGTAAATCCAAGCTGGAACATTTTTGGATATGTCTGTATTACTCTAGCCATAACTTCAAGGATTCTGGGCATTTCTCTTCTCCATTCATCTTTCCATCCTCAAGAGCCACAATGTCTGAGTCTTTCCTGACACCTTTCCCTCCTACTGTAATCTTGCTCCTATATGTGGCCTAATAAATCACAGTCCGTTTGAACCCAAAGAGATCTTAGAAACCAACCCCTTTCCCCAGTTCTCTCCCTCCTCATTATTCCTTCTTAGCCCTATTGTATAAACGAGTAAGCTCAAATTTTTTAGAAAGTGTAGTGTCAATAGCTGGTTACTGGCATACAACAATCATATCTTCCTTCAAAGCTCCTTCATGTCTCACGTGAGCTGTAAAAACTAGAACCACAAAGAATATCCTAGATGTACAAGTCCTCTCTGAAAGAACAGAATAATGTTTTCTGTCTTGTTCCCAATCCCCTTTGCAAAGCCTGTACATTCTGCTGGTGTTCAGGGTGGAGGAGTTTCTTGCATTTCAAGATGCGTTCCCCTGTACCAGGTCCCGACCCTGCCTCTTTTTAAAACTAGCTTAGATTATACTTTTGCTCTCCAAGTACATTATCTCATCAATAAAATGAAACATGCACTATGCAGAGCAAAAATAACGATGACAATATGTCATGAATTCCAATCCAGAGTGAGTGATGTTTGTGACACCATCACATTTGCACTTAGTTTGTGTCAGCATTAATGTGAATTTTCATTTCCTCAATAAATGTCATTTGGAAGTGTTCAAAAAATTTGTCAGACAATGAAGGAAAGCCCAGTCTGGGATATCCAAAACCAAAACACAGAGAGGACAGAGTGGGCCAGAAACAGAACTAAAGGTGATGACTGGGCCTCCAGGAAAGTTGAGTAGGTGGCCCCAGGCTTCACAGACTCAAGTTATCAACTCCTGCCTCTGAAAATGAAAGCTTTTGAGTCTTACCTTTTCTCTCATGGGGCTTTCTGAAGTCTTCCACTGAGGTATCGTTAGTTCATGCTGCAGCTGGGGGCCACCTTCCCCACTTCCTCCTGCCAATACAAGGTGCACACCATTGGAATCCCAGACCTCTATACAGTAGCTAAGCCATGCATGCACTGTCTGCAACAACCACTGCCACCCAGAAAGAACTCCGTGCTGGGTCATTAGAAGACCTGCTGGACTCCCAGCTCTTGGTGCTTTCTCTGTAGGCCAGGCACCTGTCTAGGTGTTGGCAATATAATGGTAAACAGGACAAACAAGGTCTCTCTAATTGCCAAGTTTACCTTGTAGAGGTGGGAGACAGAAAATGAACAAACATTCTCAGATGGTATTAAGTGGCCTGAAGAAAATATAACAGGATCAGGGAATAAAGGGATATCTAGCAGGGAGTATCTATTTTGGACAGGATGACTAGCAAAGATGGCACTTAACTGAGACCTGAGTGACCAAAAGAAAGCAGCCATGCAAAGTTATGGGGGGAGAGAGCCCCAGGTAGAGGGATTGGCAAAGTGCAAAGGCCCTGCCTCAGCAGAAGTGAACCTGGCCTGTCTAAGGAACAGCTGAAGGTAGAGGTAGCTAGAGTTGAGTAAACAAGAGAGGAAGTTGGTAAGTGATGTGATCAGCAAGACAGCCCGGGGTCTGATAATGCAGAGGCCATGGAAAGTGTCTGGATTTTATTATAAATTGACTTGGAAGGCACTGGATGTGTTAAACACAGAGCAATATGATCTGTACAAGATTTTAAAAGGCTGACTGCCTGCTGGGTGGAGAATGGGGGAGGGGTGGAGAACCGTGGGGAGAGTGAGAGTAGAAGCAGGAAGGCAAGGCTGCTGGATGCTTGTGGAAGCCCTGGTGAGAGATGATGAGGCTCAGACTAGAATGACATCAGTGGAGAGGAATGAAGTGGTGGAATTCTGGGTATATTCTGGAGGGGAGGTCAAATCCATAGGTACTGTTCCCATTGAGCTTTTGAGTTTTCTCACCTGTAAACTGAAGACGACACCCACCTGCCCATCTCACAGCATGACTGGGAAGAGGTGATGTGAAATCGCTTCCTAATCCACAAAGCATCATTACATAACTTGAGCTGCCTAATGGCAAGTTTGCATTTGTTTGCTGCTTCCTAGTCTCCAAATTACTCTCACCACCTAGTTCTCCTTCATCCTCACGAAACCCCAGCAAGGTAGACAGCAGGATTCCTATTTCTCAAGAAAGGGAATTGAAACTACAGAAGAGACTTGTTCAACTTCTCAACCTTTGAGTACAGACCTCAAATACTGGTTTGAGGCCATCTTTTTTTTTTTTTTTTTTTCCCAAAAGATGACCGGTAAGGGGACCTAAACCCTTGACTTGGTGTTGTCAGCACCACACTCAGCCAGTGAGCGAACCGGCCATCCCTATGTGGGATCCGAACCCGGGGCCTTGGTGTTATCAGCACCGCACTCTCCCGAGTGAGCCACGGGCCGGCCCCCAAGGCCATCTTACTCAAATGGTGATTTCCCAAAACCTAAACAAATTTGTCCCCACAAGAATAAACCAAATCCATAGGACTCCTGTGCATGAAGGTGAGGATTCCAAAATCTCTTCTTTCTAAACCAATTACATCAATCACATAGAAATATAATGAACGGTAAAAAAGATGGCTGTGGTTGTTAGAGCGGTAAGATTATGAGTAATTAACTTTCCTCTCAGATTACTTATATTATAGGATGTAATCAAAATACATCCTAACAAATAATCTCATTGGACCAACACTTTCATCAGACTGGTAAAAATCAGAAACAATGCATTCATTTAGTTATCAAATATTTTCTAAGTACTTAACTATGTGCCAAGTACTACACCAGGTGCTTAATATTCATGAAGGAACAAGACGGGCATAGAACCTGTCCTGGTGTCTCTAATAAATCTAGATTCTTTTCAACAAAATAGAATTATGTTATATTTAATAGAATATTTAAAGAAATTAAAGGATATTTATGATCACAAAAAAGTACTGAAAGCATCCTAAAGTCTCTACAATAGATGAACACAGTACATCTTAAGAAAAATTGTCCAAAACTTGGAAATAAGGCAAAGGGTAAGCAGGATATCTTTTCAATGTTATATTGGAGCATTGTTTAACAAGGCCTCCCATGGATTATTGAACTACCTAAAGGTACCATTGACTTTCTATTTACTATTGACTAAAGGCCTAGATTCTGTGAAGTTTTATGTTACCTGCAGACTTCTGTCTGATAGAGGTGCAAATGATTTCACTATAGTAGAAAGATAACCAAGAATTAGGGTTGTTGTTTTGCCCCATGAGGCATCCGTCACATCTGTGTCTGTCCCAGCCTCATGAGTTCAACATTCTTTCTCCAAGGCTTGTGTCACTCCTGTCCCTCTCATCTCTTCTGAACCAGCTTTACAATCCTGTACACTACCTCATTAATGAATTGAATAAATCTTTGCCACATTTGTATGACAGTCATGTTTTTAACTTTTTGAAACTTAGACTTCTGCAGTCCCTTAATGGAATTTATAGAGTCATTAAAATCATGTTTTGGTAGAATTTAATGATGTGGGAAATGCTCATGATGTGAAGTGAAAAACTCAAGACACAAAACTGTACATATGGTATGGTTCCAGTTTTATCAACATATATATATAGGAATGCACAGACTGGAGAGAAAAAGCCAAAATATTAATAGCAACTGTATATTTGGGGATTGCAGATCATTTTATTCCTTTTATATTTTTCTTTATTTCGCAGATATCCCGCAGCGACTCTGCCTCACTGGGTGGTCTCCAAGGATTCAAGACTCAAAGCAGGCGCCTGTAGTCGGAGCAATAACTTGCTTTCCTTGCCTTTCTTCAGGCTTTTCTCTTGCACTAAGCACTGACTCGGGCCTCGCGTTAGGCTCTAAAAAACCAGATATGAACAGATGGGGCTCCCTCTCTCTCAAGAAGCCCCCCGACTCCAGGAAAAAGAAGGGCTTCCTCAGGCTCGCTGTGAACCCCCTGTGCCTCAGTTTCATTTCGGTGCAAGAGCTCCAAGGGCGGTTCTGTCTGTCCCCCAGAGAACGGGAGAACCGCCGGACTTCGCCCCGGAGCTCCGCAGCGCCCGGGGGGAGCACAGCCTCCTGGCTCCAGGCGACTGGGGGTCGAGCCCGCCCCGCCCCGCCCGGCCGCCGCTCGCTTTATTTGAAAACGCTGACTGTTAGTCCCGCAGGCAGTGGTCTGGAGGCAGCCCAGCCCGTCGCAGCAGCCCAGCCCGGGCTGAGCTTTCTCGGGTCATAATGACAGATCCCGGGCACCGCCCCCCCGGGACCATTCCTTCCGCGAAATCTGCCGAGAGCCCCAGAGGGATGGGGCCGGGGAGGGGATGGTGTCTGGGAAACTAGTTGTGAGAAACATAGACATCACCCAGCATCCCAACTGGAACCACCGAGTCCGACCCTTCACTCCCAGAGAAAGGGCGAGCGTCGGGTGAAGTGGAGAGAGAGCCCTGGTTTCCAGTGCCAGCGCGGACCTCAAACCATGGCGCAGCCATGGGCACGTCTTTTCCCTTTGGTGGACCTCAATTTCCCCATCTGTAAAATGGGTGCATCGGACCTGATCTTCACTAGGGTCTCCGCCAGCTCAGGGGTCCAAAGTGTACGGCCGGAGATACCCGGCCAACCATCCCACCACCGCTACCATCGTCTCCCCGGGGGCATTTTATTTCCTGCCCCACCCGCGTGCGCCTGACACCGAGCACGGTCCCAGGAAGCTGCTCCCCTGGCCGCACGGGCTGGACGCCCGGGATGCTCGGGGCTGGCGCGTGCAGCAGGCGGCAGAGATAGAGATGAGACAGAGAGAGGCGGAGCGGAGATGAGGGACCGTGAGAAAACGGAGGAGGAGAGACCGGAGAGCAGCAGGAAAAGAAGCCAAGAGCAGAAACACAGAGAAAGGAGAGAGAGAGGAAGGCAAGGCAGTGAAAGGAGCGGCTGTTTTCTGTCTGCTCCGGGTCTCGCCGACCTCGACCACCTCCCGGGGCGCACAACGTGGGAACAAAGCCTGGGCTCCCAGGCTGGGGGGCGGCGGGGGCGCAGGCCCCGCGGAGTTGCAGGAGGCGCAGGGATCGCGGTTCCGGCGCTCCGAACCCGCAGGGCGGTCCCCGGGCCACCCAGCCCACTCGCCTCCATCCCCCCCGCGCCTTGCACTTACTTCTCGTCCATCCCGGCTCCTGCGCCGCCCGCGGCCGGAGGAGCTGCAAGACTAGCACCAGCACGCCCGGCGCTCGCACGCCCTGGGTCATGCCTGCCTCCCGGCCCGGCGGCGGTGGCGGTGAGTCTGAAACCCACCGCTCGCCGTGCGCCTCCCCACCCGGCGCCCAGCCCTCGGCCGAGACGCTCCGCCCCCAGCCCCGCCGGGCTCCGCCAGCCCTTGGAGGAGGGGAGGCGCCCGCCGGGAGGGGGCTGGAGGGACCGGCCAGGCGAGGGGCCGGCAGGACCCCTGGGGAGCCGGGCTGACTCAGGTGAGGGGCACCGAGGGGGAGAAAGAATTGGAGCCCGAGGAGGGGAAGGAATTGACGGTGGACGCGGCCTGGGGAGGGTCGGGCTCGGGCTTCTAGGAGTTAAACTGGACCCTTCTCTGTGCAGCGGCCCGTTTACTCTGTCCCGCACTGTGCTAGTTGCCTTGGGTGACACTCAAAGGTGACTCATCCAGTGCCGTTCTCCCAGAGACCGCCACTCTTAGAGGCAGGCTCCGAAAGAGTTAACCGAACCACCAGGCACAAAGAACTAAGTGCTATATGGAGTTGTTGTTTTAGCAGGACACAAATCAAGGAGCCATTCCTTCTGACTGGGAGGAGGGGTTGGTGAAGATGAGGAATCCCAGAGAAGACATCTGAGCTCTGGAGGAGGAAAAATGGAACCCAAGGCGCAGGAAACAGCCTAGACAATCCGCTAGGGCGGGAAAGCCCATGGGCTGTATGGGAAAAGGGGGCGGGAGGGGGTGGAGGATCAGAATTTGGGATGGTTAGGGTTTAGAGTTTTGGAGGGAAATGGAAATGAGACCCAAAAATTATAATAATGACTGTGATTTATTGAGGACTCACTATCTGCTAGAATAAGAAAATCACGATAGCTAAGACTGGTGTAGCACTTACTAAGTGCCAGACACTGTCCTCAGCACTTTACATAATTTATTAATTAATCAAGGAAAAGAACTACCTTTTATTGGCCCTATATGTGCCAGGGACTCTGCATACATTATCTCTTTTATTTAGACCAACAATCTTATGAGGTAGCCACTAGTTTTATCCATATTTTAGAAATGAGAAAATCAAATCTGAGAGGCTAAGTCCCTTGCCCGCCGTCACACAGCTAATGTCACCACCTGCATTCAGTGTAACCCCAGAGCCCGATGCAGCACACCTTATTTTACAGATGAAGAAACTGATAATCAGAGAGCAGTGACTTTCCTAAGATCCCTTAGCAAGTTTTGGCAAAGCCTGATTCTAGAAACCTAGCCTCAGACCTCTCATCATCTGTTCCTTTCATGAGTCTCTTTAGTCGGGGGGGGGGGGGGGGAGAATGATGTGGTTCTTGCCATTGATGGGGTTAGGGACTATATTATTTTTCTCCAGCTGCCATAATAAAATACCACAGACAGTGGCTTAAACAACAAAAATGTATTTTCTCATATTTCTTGAGGCTAGAAGTTCAAGATCCAGGTGCCATCAGGATTGTTTTCTGGTGAGGTCTCTCTTCCTGGCTCATCCTTGGTGGCCTTCTCACTGTGACCACACATGGCCCCTTCTCTGTGTGTGTGCACAGAGAGAATGCTTTGGTATCTCTTCTTCTTCTTATAAGGACAACAGTCCTATCAGAGTAGGTCTCTACTCTCATGACCTCATTTAACTTTTATTACCTCATTATAGGCTCTGTCTCCACATATGATCACATTGAGGGTTAGGGAGGTTTTCAACATGAATTTTGGGGGACACAATTCAGTGCATAACATTCCTCCCTCTGGCCCACCAAAATGTATGTTCTTTTTACATACAAAATACATTCACCCCATCCCAACAGCTCCAAAAGTCTTAACTCATTCCAGCATCAATTCCAAGTCTGGAGTCTCATCTAAGTATCATTTAAATCAGGTATGGGTGACACTTGTATGATTCGTCCTGAGGCAAAATTCCTCTGTAGCTGTGAATCTATGAAATCAGATAAGTTATATGGTTCCAAATTACAAGGGGGGCCGGCCCGGTGGCGCACTGCTACAGTGCGCTGCTTG